GACGGGGGGAGGGGGAGAAGGAAATTGACGGGGGGAGGGGGAGAGATTGACATCCATCACACACAATGCACCCCTTGCACACAGAAAAACACACAATGCATTACACACAGACACACATACACAAGCAATGCATCCCTTACACACAACAACACACAATGCACCCCTTACACACACTCAATGCATCCCTTACAGACGCACACACTGCATCCCATACATACACAAACTCATCTTGCAGCCCTTACACATACAAACACAGATTCACACAATGCATTCCTTACACACATCAGGACATCCCCCACACACACACTCCACTCCCTGTGAACAAACTCATTGGTGGAACATGAAGGTGGACCCTGGGACCCAGACCTTGAGCTGTGTAAAGGGCCCTCAAAAAAATGGAGCTGCTTCCCGTTCTCCCAGAACATTGATTTTTGTGACCACAGTTACAAACCGCCTCCAGAGAGCCTGTTGTACACCAGACCAGTGGAGCCAGACGGCAGCTAGAGCCCATCATCTTCCTCATCTGGTTGTAAGTAGGCAATCTAGTATATTATTCGTGGCACTTAATCTCTAATTTACCTCACATTAAAGGGACACTATAGTCCCCAGAACCACTGCAGCTTAATGTAGTGGTTCTGGTGTCTAGCCTGTCCCTGCAGGCCTTTTAATGTGTTAGTTAACATGGCAGATCATATGGGTGGGGCATTGTGATGTCACATGGGGGGGACGGCAAACTTTACTTTTGCCTATGGTGGCAAAAATCCTTGCACCGGCCCTGCAGACACTGCATCCCTGTGGGCGGATTCGGGGGGGGGGCAGCACTTTGGGCGGACTCGGGTGCAGGCACCGGGGGGCCCAGACCTTGAGCTGTGTCAGGGGCCCCAACATTTCTGATGGCAGCCCTGTGGAAGGATACAGAAGTAAGGGCGGGCATAGGGAATGACCCAAAAGTTTCTATATTAAATTATTATTATTTATATATTTAGTAAAGCTGTGGACAATTTAACCCATATACCCTAGTGTCCGTGTTTTATTGGGGAAGGTATGTGGGGGGTTTGTCCTAGGTTCTGGATGCCCATATGGCGACGATACACCGGTCAAGAACACAACACGTTTACTTTATTCATTAAACAACAAATTGCTAAATTTAAGACAAAATAGCTAATTTGGAGAAAGTCTTAAATTCTGCTACCGTCACAACTTGATTTTTTCATCTAGAGAGTTTTACAACTTCATATTCAGTTCAGTAGTTTTAAAGTTTAGTAAATAACGCCCATTCTGTCCTATTGGTCTCTCTCCGCAAACCACAACTCATAAATCCATATTCCATTAGAGAGAGAAACACACACAGTGAACTAGTCTCTAACATATATATAAAAAGTAGAGGGGGAAGAGTCTGCGCTTAATAACGGAAAAGCTGCAACCCTCAAAGGGAATCACTCAGAAACCCTTTATGCCGGTCACATAGTATTCAGCACGGCAGATCGATCTGCCTAACTACATTCCCCAGAGAGCATTGCTCCCTTATGCCGGTCCCACAGTGCCAAATTGCGGTAAAACGATCCGCCCATGCCCTGTGCACCGCAACCTTCGATTGCGCATGCGCACGGCAACTTCCGATTGCGCATGCGCACGGCAATCTCCTAAGTCCCGATCATGTGACTATCAAAGCTAAATATAATAAAGTTATCAGTACCTCGTTTTACATAAATAAATACATTTTAAGACTTATGAAAGTTAACTTTACACAACAAAATAGTTTTTTTTTATCTGTTTTGAACTTGTCAAATATGATTGTTTTAATACTTGTTTCTAATTGGTGCAAAAAAATTTGGCGCCAAATTCAATTACTGTGTATCCTTATAAATACTGTTTTATGCCAGGTATTATGTTCTATTACCATTCTGAAAAAACCTGATTGGTGAAACGCGTTAATGGTTTTAAATAGTGTATTTTATACAATAAAAGTTATTTTTTGGTTACCTCTTTTATCGGACCAATCTTTTACTTTTTTATTGTACTTATATACACTTTTTTTTTAATAGTACTTTTCCTGGCATTTTATAATTTAATTTTTTATTTAATCCTTTTAAATATTTTTCAACATTTTTTCTTACTGTATCCTGTCCTAAAGAAATCCCTAGGTGGGGATAATTCCACCTATGCTGGGGCAATAGAGCAGTATCAATCTGCTCTATTTTTGTAAGTATATTTTATTTTATTTTATTTATCTCATTTTTTCAAACTGAGAGCACTATCACTGTTTTATACATTTTGTGGAGCCCGACGGAACCCAGCCGAACAGACGGACCTATCTCTCCAGCATACCCACCAGTGGGGAACATACCATCAAGTGTCTCTCACACAAGAGCCGGTCTAAACTACAGCCAAACAATCCATAGGTGGGGATAATTCCACCAGCGCTGTGATAATAGAGCAGTACTTCCTGCTCTATTTTTGTGAGTATTATTTTATTTATTTTATTTTATTTCTTATTGTTCCTACCGAGAGCACTATCTGCTGTTTCCTATATCCTGTGAGATTCGACGGAACCTAAGTTGGACGGACGGACCTACCATCCAAGTATATCCTGAAGTGGGGATTATACCACTGAGTGCCCTTCATCTCAGAGCTGGTCGTAGCTCCATCAAATGTGAGTTCCAAATCCTGATTCTGATTTTATTTATCATCTTTGGATTTACAATACTTCACTATCGGCAGTTCTCTTTGTGTTTCTTATTTCCACATAAACGGACAATTTTACCCGGACGGAACCATCTCCGAGGACTGTAATCACACGTGATATCAGTGAGACTGTTTTTTACTTCATTTTATCCCATTTGGAATTTCTCTACTTTT